AGCTTTCCGTGGTACCAAGAAAGGGCTGGGGGAAAAATGGCTAGATAAAGAAACGCTTTAGCAGCAGTGAAGGGTTAATTTGACTGTACTGGAATACTTTCCACACTGCGTGATGCTAAAAGGTTTGAACATACATTTTATCACAGTTACCACAGTGAAATGCTGTCTTTGCAAAGGGCCTCTCTTTTAGCAGAACGATATGTAGTCTCAGCAGTCATCTTCCATACCTTCTTCTCTCGCTGAAAGGCCTACTGCTGTCTCTCTCCAGAGAGGAGGATGCTCTGCATCATGCCCTCCACCATTTTAGACTGGCAGATGAATCAGCGCAAGGAGCTATCTCGCTCTGCGTGCGCCGACGCGGGGAGCTCGGCGAGAACGAGGCAGAGCGAGTACGCTGTTAGAGGAGAAAAGCAAAATCACCTCAGGTTATCTGCCAGCTTTTGTGACAGCCTGATAAGAGGAACAATTCAAAACAGAGGCAGAAAAGCAGCGCAGGAGAAGAAAAGAGCAGCGTGAGTGAAAGAGAGGGAGATTTGAGCCAGTCAGACGTAAAGAATCGTAGAACATTAAGTCATTTTAAGTTGCTTTGAGTCAAGCGGATGCTCTTGTTAAACTCTCGAGTACCCGTTAAGTTCACACACAGGGACATTCGCTTCCAAAGTAGCTTTGGAAGGTTATAATTGCACAAAATCCAACAGCCAGGCCGCTTAGCCGGTATTTTCAGCCGGTGAATATTACACAGCAGTATTGCAGGAAGCAGTGGAAAAAAAAAACTGGAATGGCTAAAAATCCGCAGTTGTCTAACTAAGTCTTAATCATATGTTTCATTAGGACGATCCTGATTGGGGTATTTAGGCGTTGAGCAGAGAGCTATGAGCAGAAGTGGCACCTACTGAGAGAAAGACTGTGATTACTGTAATCAAGACTTTTTCACTGGGGAGAGGAGAGGAGAGAAAACACAGTTGGGAAGAGCAGTTACTTCACCCTCTTCAAGGAAAGAGAGAATATCACAATATTTGATAATATGAGCTCTCGCGTATGCATATTTTATGAACTTCGTCAGGGTTCTGCGTGGGAAATTCAAATGCATACGTGGATTAGGACATCTCGCCATAAATATCTCCGGCTACAAATGGGTGGGTTTGCACTAGATGATCCCCCAGTCTGTGTCTGCCTGTAAGCGTCCTCTGTATTTACACATTTGTATTTCTGCCAGTGACGGCAAGTTTGTTCAGCTGAGTATGAAAAAGCTTTTTCGACTGGTGCTTGTAAGCGGATGCTGATGGCCTCCCCCATCTTTGCCCCCGCCATCACTTCTTTTCCATCTCTTCTTCTCAATCTTTCTGTGGATGCAGTTCAAGCCGGGCCTTAAGGTATCCCCCAACGCCTCCACCATCACCATGTCCCCCCTCACCCCGCCCCCCTGTGGTTCTGGGTTGGTATCGACCGTGGTAATTGATCCCTCTAGGCCCTCCAGCCACATCCAACAGTGAGTTGAACAGAATCACCACTAAGAAGACAGCTGCTTGGCCACCACAGACAGGCCAAAAGAAAGCGAGAAAGAGAAAGAAACCCTGTTGCTGCTAACCATTAGCTCTGTCTGCCAACTTCCTTCTGCAGGGAGCCAAGTCAGCACATTGCATTGGCTTGGAGAATACTAAATCCTCCATTTTGGGAAGCTGGGAATAATGTTGGGACTATAAAAAGTGAGAGGCAAGAGGAACTGACTTAAAGAACAAGAAAGTCTCTCTTTTTCTGTTCTTATCAACTCCCTGTGAGCTTGTGGGATTGATCTGACCCACTGTTGCCTAAACCCAAAGCCTCTGCTACCCAGTGAAAGATTACCTGTTTTATTTCATTCTGAATTTCAACCCTGCTCCCTTTTCTACAGTTTCCAACATTTCCATGTGGCCAAAAGTGGAAACTGATTCCATAAAGCGCAGCGTGATAGCTGGCTTATGTTTGCACTCCAAGCAGTTTCAAGTCCCAAGAGGTGCAGGTGTATTCCGACATGAAGGAAACAACAAACGCACTCATGCAAGGACAAAACATGGGCACACTCACACCCAAGTCAAGTATAGTACCTCTGATCTCAGAAAAGCACGTTTCTCCTTTTCAAACAGTGAAAGAGAAACTTATTCATGTTTTCAGCTTTGAGGCAAAGCATTTACCAAATAAGGCTTTGGGAGAATTTTGTTCTTTTTTAAACTGTCAAGATAAGCAGTTTTTACTGGAGATTGCTGAAAGCAGTGTAAGCTTCATCAGTGAGATATTACCTGAAGCTTTAACTTGCTTGAACTGCCAATATCTTCTTAACTAAGGGTGCTATAATATACCTGCTGGTTAATTAAATTCTGTTAATTGTGGAAATTTCAAGGTGAGCTGTCACAATCTTGGTATCTTGAAACTGGACATGACAAGCTGAAATGGTGTTATTTTCAATAAAATTTGCAACTAATTCCATGAATTTATCAGAGAAATGTTTAATGAGGTTGCAGATCCTGTAAGCCGATAGCCTTTTTGCCAACAGTACAAGAAAAATTGAAACGTGGCCCCCTGCTGCCCATTAGAAATGATGCAGATTTAGGTTATCAGGGCCAAGCAGTACATCCATTGTTAACATATGTCATGTCAGAGTCCCTGGCAACTCAAAGAAATGCACAATCTTGCAATTAGTGTTTTATCATGTCTTCCTCCCCACACCCCTGATAGATGGCTGCCCCTCCCTGAGCCTGGTTCTGTTGGACGTTTCTTCGTGGTAAAAGGGAGTTTTTCCTTTCCGCTCTCGCCAAGTGTTTGCTCAGAGAGGATCAGTGTCGTTTGATTGTTGGGATTTTTTCTGTATTATTGTAGGTGAAGACCTCACCTTACAATAAAAACATCTTGAGGCATCTGTCATATAAATAAAATGGTGTTGAATGGATTTGAACTCGTCTCTTTACAAAAGAAAAATCATCTCAATCAGTTGTATTCTGGACTCTGAATGTTAGGGGTGGGGGAAAAAATCGATACTGTGTAGTATCGTGATATTTTGTTTGCTAATAATGTATCGATACAGGGACAGCAGAAATCGATATTTTGTTACAAAAAAAGTTTTTGTGGACTGGAACATGCTCTGACTTCAGAGTT